CACACCTGGAAGTGCAGGTGCCCCTTCCCTCCCCTCCCTACACACCCCTCAAACAGTCCCTTTGCAACCTACCCCTAGACCCCCATTCCTTTGTAACCTGGAGGTGCTTGTATGGAATGTTGAGATTGGGGTAACTGAATGGTTGGCCCAGGCCACAGAGCCCCGAAACTCTGTTACCAGCAACCCCAGACACACGGAAGGTGGGGAGCACCTTCCGTTGCCAGGAGCTGCAGGGTTCCTGGGGTATCCGGCGGCACCTTTGCTCAAATGATCCACAGCCTCATGAATTCACTGGGCACCTACTCCCTGCCAGGGTGAGGGCCACAAGTGAATAAGGCTGGCCCTGCCTTCCGCAGCCCTCGATTGGGAGGTGTGTGCTGCGAAGCCCACCTGTGAGTGAAGGCTCTCGCATGGTGGGACATTTTGGGCGCAGCCCACCAGGTCAGGGAGAAATGAACTGAAGGGTCAAAGTCCCAGCACCAACCAGAGGCCACGAAAACAACCCAGTGCAAATGCGCCGCACAGTATCAGTTGGCAAACAAAACTATATTGAGACGAGCGTGGGCTGGGGTGCATTAGCAAAAGCGAAACTGCCTGGCCGCCGCTGCGCAGAATGCACGCCTTGTCTCTAACCGCCGCGCCCCAGGGGCGTCCCTGCTCCGGGCCGGGGCCACCTGTTGCCGCCAGCTGCCCGGAGCTCGGGCGCCGCCTGCCGGCCACACTGCGCACGGCAGCGGGAACCCTGCAACCCGGCGGGGCCTCCCGGGCCCGCACCCCCCGATGGGCACCTAAGCCAGCGGCTGGCAACCCTGGGGGGCCGGTCCCGGGTTGGATTCGGCCCATGCCCTAAGAGCGCGGAGCCGATCCAGCATTGCTCAGGGAGTGCGTCCTCCCCCGGCGCGGGCCCTGCGGTTCTGCGTGCCCTCGCGGGACATCTCTCTCCAGGCCGCGTCGTCGAGGGGTTGGCGGGACAGAGGGAGGAGCCTGTGCGGGCCCGGGTCGGCGGCGGGGAGGAGGGAGTGGGTGGAGCCCGGGGCGGGGCGCTTGCCGCGCGCTCCCTCGCCGGCCCGCGGGCCCAGCTCACCTCTCGTCCAGGGACATGACGGGCACGCCTGGTGCCGCGGCCGCCCGGGATGGCGAGGCCCCCTTGTGCTCCCCGCCCTGCTGTCCGAGCTATGATCTCACGGGCAAGGTGGGTCCAGCGCCGGTGACACCCGCGCCGGCTCCGAATGTCAGCCCTCCCGCGTCCCTTTCCGTGAGACCCCGGCTCGCGCCCTCTCCTGGCTGCGTCTGGGTGGGCTCAGCCCTTCCCCCAGGCAGCCGGGTCTCTCCGAGGAGGGAGGGAGGGAGGGAGGGTGAGGACATCAGACCCTGGGCCGGTCCCAACCTCTGGGGACCTGGATGGCTCAGTGGGGGCGGGGCGAGGAATATCGGAAAGACTGAGCGACACCCACCCCGCGGACCCCAACTTAGCTTTCTTCTGCCACGCTCTGGCCAGTCCGCGCCCCCGGGAACCCCAGGCTTCGTGGTTAGGGTTAAGTGCACAATCCCCCTGGGCACAGGCTAGGACAGTGCTAGGAAATGGAGCTGCCTGGAGACGCAGGGAGGACGCCCCCGGCGGCGCACAACTCCGGGTTAATGCCCTTTTCCGAGCTACGCTGAGATCTGACAGCGTTTTAAGGCCTTAGGTACCCCCAGCTGCCCCCAATCCTACCCCTTCCCTCTCCACCCCCTCCAAGCACTGCCTCCCAGCAACACCTTCCTCCCAGGGAGCCCCTCCTTCCAGAAGGATGCTGCTAGCTGGCATGCAGGCCCACCTGGGAATTTTTAGAACCTGAGAAAGATCTCAGCGATTAGTCACAACATCCTGCACCTGGAAAAACTGTAAGGCGGCTCTCTGGGGCTTGTCCCCTCTGCCCTGTAGGGAAGCAGGTGGGGGCGGCAGTGCACACTGGTCCTTCTCTTTCCACCTGTGCCCCTGCAGTAAGCAGGTACCAGAAACTCTGAAAGAGACGCTGAGGGGCCCAGAGCTTCCACTATTCCTCCCGGGCTCAGAGTGGAGGAGCCAGGGCTGGCCTGGATCTTGCTGCATGGCCTCTTTCTGTGCCTTGGTTTCCTCCCCCACCCAAGGGGTCACTCTTGCTGGGAGCCTTGTCCTCCACCCCACTGTTTCAAGGGAAGCCACTCTGCAAGTCACCCGCCCAGAGCCACCCAGAGCCAGAGCCGTTGAGATAAGCCTCCTGTGTGGGCTTGTGGCAGGAAATAGTCCCCTGCACCATCAGGGGAGGGGGAGCTGCTGATGGCCAGCCCCCTGGCCGATGGGGATGGCCTGACCTTGTTGCCCTGCAAACCAGCTGGGCTGTTTGCCTAGGAGGCGGTGAGGCTGGCCAGGGCTGTTTGTTTGTGTTTGGTGGAATTGCACCAGCATCGTTTGCTCAAGGCAGCTGTGATCTGTAAAGTACACAGGCATTGGCTCTCCCTCCCTCCTTTCCCCCCTGGGGCTGGGACCCAGGAACCAGAGAGGAGTGCAGCCTTCAGAGGGCTCCCTGTCCCCCACCCCTTCATCTGTCCCTTGGCCAAGCAGCATTATAGGAGAGCTGGCCCCTAGGTCTGCCCCTAGGGCAGTCTGAGAGGAGTCTGGTGGGAGCTACTTGGACCAGACTGGGGGGATGGGGGCCACAGGCAGGCGGTACCCACCCCTGGGCCACTCTTCCCTGAGTCTTAGGTGGTTCACGGCAACATTATTAGCCCTAGCCATTAACGGATCTAGAAAGGCCTCCAAGAAATTGTCCCTGGGCCCTTCTACTTTCTGTGGAAACCATGCCCCAGACAGGTTAAGGAATATTCCCAGAGTCACACAGTAGGCCATTTACAAACCAGGACCCTCCAAACACCTTCTGCTCAGCCCCTTGCCTCTCCACCAAAGTTAGCAAAGCCCAGTACCCCATGCCCACAGCAGGAAAGCCTTTGAGCTCCATTGTCAAGTTAAGAACCTCAAAAAGAATTCAAACCTAGTCCCTGCTCAAAATTCCAGCAATAGGTCTAGACCCCTCTTCCCAAAACTTGGGGAATGGCTGGACAAAGGGCTCTTCTCCACCATTCCTGCATGTTCCCTAGAGAAGATGAACAGACCCTAGCCAGATGATGGGGAGGACCCTACCCCACCTCCACATGTGGCCTCCTGGGGATGACAATCTGCAGTCCTTTGTCCCACTTGGGGGGGTTCTACTGAAAGAACTTCAGGCTAAACATCTCCCCACTTCAGTACAGATTTCAACCTTCCCTAATTCATGCAGCCCTGTTATAAACATAAAATGTCATTAGAAACGTCCAAATAAATGTCCTGACACCCCAAACAAAACAAATAATAGTAATTCTAGATATACAAATGACAGTGCTCTGCCCCAGCAAATGCTGAGAGACTCCCCTGGGTGGGAATCCCTGTCTAAGGTCTAATGCTCCCCTTTCCGGTCAGCCCAGCCCACACGTGTCCATGAGGGGCACGCACACACAGGGACGCCATCCTTGCACAGTGGGCAAATGTGCCCGGAGGCTAGACCACACAAATGTGCTGGTTCTCTGGTGCCACAGAGCATACCTGGGGACTCACTCATGGTGAGGTCTCAACTAGAGCTTCCAGGAAATTGGATGCGGACGGGGGTGCAGAGGGAAAGCCTGGGAGGCCGAGCCAGGCGGCGTGGAGAGGAGAGGCAGGGGGGAGGCGGCGGTAGGCTTTCTGCAAGCAGAGCCCCTGGTGCCATCAGCATCCTTCCCCAGCCCTCTGTCCCCCTCTGGTCCTCTTTCCAGGTGTCTCTCCCTGGAATCCCAGAAGCTCCCCCATCCCCATTAACTGCCTCTGCCCCATCTCCTAGGTGATGCTTCTGGGAGACTCGGGCGTCGGCAAAACCTGTTTCCTGATCCAATTCAAAGACGGGGCCTTCCTGTCCGGGACCTTCATAGCCACCGTCGGCATTGACTTCAGGGTGAGGTGGCTGCAGGCTCCTCCTTCAGGCAGCGAGCCAGGGCGGTGGCTCAGGCACAGGGGCTGCCCTCTCCTGGCCCACCCTGGCTCCTGAGGACTCCTGTGGCTCACTGCCTGGGGGGTACCAGGGGTGCTCCCCCTGAGACCACAGAGGTGGCCGGAAGGAATCTGGGCAGGTCTGGCTCCTTGCCCACCTGCAGGATGCAAAAAATGAGACTGAGTCTTCCTTTTCCTCCATCCTGGGGTATTGCCCCCGAGCAGGGCAGCCACCTCCACAGCATAGCTGAGCTTCTTGGCCCTCAGAGCCCCTTGCCCATTGCCCCCTGAGCCGGGCGTCTTTGGCAAGGCCTCAATCAGTATTTCTAGAGTTCCCGGGAGGCACGGCACTGCTCTGGGTTTATGAGCTGGGCTGGCCACGTGGGGAGAGAGCAGCTGACCAGGGTCCCTCCATCTCACCTTAGTGGCTCCATCTCACAAGTCCGCATCAGGGTTGCCAAGCGCTGCACACCCAAAGGGGCCAGGAGAGAGCGGGTCTAACCCTAGCAAAGCGGCTATGTGGCTTCCAGTGGGTGGAGGTGAAGCTTCTTTGCTGAGAGAGTTGGCGGCTACAAGATAAGTGATCCTGCAGACCTGGTCTCCGCGGCCCCCAGCACCTCACCTCTAAGGACATGGTCACAGGCCCGAGGCTGAGCTCTGGGAGAGGAAGGCCAAAGCCAGGAAGGGCAGGGCCCTGTGCTGCCTGCTGAGCCCTGGAGAGAGCCAGGAAGTTTCTCGGGCTCCCCTTGCCCTGCCGTGCTGTGAGAAGAGCAGATGCAGTCCCCAGGAGAGACACCCCCACGCTGGAAGCGTCTGGGGACAGGGTCCCTGGTGGCCTGGTGGGGTGATCTGGCTGGAGACGTCTCTGGGGCATGCTGCACCCCCTCTAGGCCTGGAGAGGGACCTGCACTGCCTGGGATGTTTGCAGAGCTCTGGAGCCAAGCCTCTCCTGCCCTCCCCACTCTGCCTTTTTCTCTTTCAGAACAAGGTGGTGACCGTGGATGGCATGAGGGTGAAGCTGCAGGTGAGACCAGAGGGTGAGACAGGGGCCGGGGTGGAGGCTCCTCACCCCGAGCCACAGGAGGCCTGCAGCCCTGCCCTCGGCCTGGGGTAATTTCCTGTGGGGCCCTCAAGAGAGGAAATGGCTTTTGTTTGATGTCTGCAGAAAAGGCAGTTCCCAGGCACCCTCTCTTTTATCAAAGGCAGCTCAAAATGCCTTCAGACAAGCTTAGCCCCCCTCCACCTCCTCCGCAGTTTCCGCAGAGGGCCGCCTCTGCTCTAGGAGGCTGGACACCCTCAACCCCTGGGCTCTGACCGAGCTTGAGAACAGCGTCCGAGAGGTCTTCGGGCGCTCAGCAGCCCATGAGAACCTAAAGAAGGAAACAGCCCCACCTTCCCACAGGCATCTCATACAACAACATGGGTACCCTCCACCCAGCACAGTCCCTGCACCCTGCCTCCTTCCAACTATCTCTCCATCCCTTCTCAGATCTGGGACACCGCTGGGCAGGAGCGGTTCCGCAGCGTCACCCATGCTTATTACAGAGACGCCCAGGGTAAGTCCCTCACGCCCGCCAACCCCTACCGCGGCCCCCTAGTGGCATCCATGCTGCTGCCTAAGTCCCCTCTGATCCCTCTGCCCCTCCAGCCTTGCTCCTGCTCTACGACATCACCAACAAAGCTTCCTTTGACAACATCAGGGTAGGTCCTCCCTTCCCCTGGCTCCTGCCCACTCACAGCCCAGGCAGGGCCTGTGCCGGCTGGGATTGCTTCCCGCTCTGTGGGGAGGAGGAGGAGCGTAGAATCCTGCCACCTTCTTAAAAACACCTAGCTGTGACTCACAGTCATATCCGCTGCTGAGTGTTTGATGGCCACGTGGGCACCAAGGCCAAGCAGGCTGTTGTGACCTATGGCACCTGCATAGCCCTGTGATTCAGGAGTGTGTTTCACGTCAAGGTGTTCAGAACAGCCTCAGCTCTACCCTGGACAGCTACCCACAGAGACCAAGGGCAGAGACCAACCAGAAAAGTCTACACGTGCATCCAGCACAAGCTTCAAAAAAGTAACTTGGGCAGACATAGAGTGAGTGGCTGCATCCTCACAAGAAAACTATTAGAGAGTAGATACAATAATTGAATGAATTCAAGCACCAACTTTGTGTACAACATTGTATAGGTTCCGTGTGCTCCCTAACCTCAGGGACAGTTTTCTGGGGGAATAAGACACATAGCTATAAAAAGGATGGAAAATCCATGGCGCTCTTACTGCCGATTCCAACCCCTTACTCACAGCAGACATCACGAATCAATCACTGTACTTTTGATTGCTGAACCCTTCTGCAGTGTTAGAATCCTTGGCAGGGCACTTCAGGGTGACACTGGTAACACACCGACTGATTTGTGACGTAAAGTCTCCATGCCATCTCTATCTGCCATAAAATTGGGAGTTGTGCTGATTGGAGTAGGGCGATAATCAAGGAAGGACACCCAGGGCTGGAGAGGGCACACGAAGGCACAGATGAGAGAATGCACAGGGCATCTTGTTCAGGGGTAGTGAGTAGCTGAGCAGAATCAAACAGGCCAGAAGAAGAAAGAGTGAGAGGGAGAAGAATGGCGGCCCTGTCCTCAGCCTCGGCCTGGCTCAGCACGCCTCTCCTGCAGGCCTGGCTCACTGAGATCCATGAGTGTGCCCAGAGGGACGTGGTGATCATGCTGCTAGGCAACAAGGTGAGTGGCTCCACAGCAGGGCCAGCCCAGCCCTGCACCTCCTCTCCCTTGGCCACAACATCAGCACCACCCAGCCCCAAAGCCATCCAAGAGCAGTCATGTGGACCTCTTTCCCCCACGCCCATCCTCCAGTCTCCAGTTTGGGGGCAGACATATCCAGCAGCTTCTGTCCACCCCATCTGCCCTCTTACAGCTTTGGACCAATGGCCTCTTCCAGGGAAAGCCAAGCTGCTGCCTGAGACATCCAGGGGTGTGCAGCTGTCGGCCCCCATTAGAGCATAGTGAACAGTGTTCTGGGCCAGGGGCTAGGACTGCAAAGGGTTAGCTCCAACTGCTGTCACCCCTCTGGGGCTGGATCACCACACTCTTTGCCATGGAGAGTTACCCACTTCCCCAGCCAGGGGTGAGATCCGTGGACTAGGCAGAAACCCTGGCTCTGGGCTCCTCACACCTGCCTGCAGTCCCTCAGGCCACCGGCAGAGGGCGGGCAGGGCCTGCTCCTAAAAGATGGGGCAGCTGGGGTCAAGGTTTCCTTCCCCTGAATAACCCATATGGCCTTGACAGGCAGATGTGAGCAATGAAAGGGTGATCAGCTCAGAGGACGGAGAAACCCTGGCCAGGGTAAGTGACTGCCCGTCGGGCAGGGTGAGAGGTGGGGCAGCCTGAGGCTGGCCCTGAGGACACTCTCTCCTGGGCAGGAGTACGGCGTTCCCTTCATGGAGACCAGCGCTAAGACGGGCATGAACGTGGAGTTGGCCTTTCTGGCCATTGCCAAGTGAGAGCTGGGCAGGGAAGGGAACCCTGCGGGGCAGGGCGTGCCATCCAGGAATCCAGTGTGGCCTGGCCCCAGCCTGGCCCTGGGGCCACCTGCATCTTGCAGGGGAGGTCCCTTTGCCCCAGGCCATGGGGGTGGGGGTGGGGGTGGGATGGGGGGGTGGGCAGAGGGCTGCTTTGTGCCTCACTCCCAGCCCAACCCATTGCCTCTTCCTCTTCAAGAGAGCTGAAATACCGGGCAGGGCGGCAGGCCAATGAGCCCAGCTTCCAGCTCCGAGACTACGTGGAGTCCCAGAAGAAGCGCCCCAGCTGCTGCTCCTTTCTGTAAAGCCCAAGGGGTAGAGAAGAAGCTCCAGAGACCCACAGGGATGCAGCTGTCTCCCCCAGACCTGGCTTATTGGGAGTGGCAGAGCCGATGGGGAGAAAGTCAGGAGACCCAGTACATAGCCCCTTCCCGAGGGGAGCATACTCCAGCTCCCACCCTAGTTCCTGTAGCTTCCCTGCATCCCAAAAGGGGGTAAAATACTTATATTTTATTTTAATGCTATATAATTTAATACCAAGGAAAAAAAGGCACCAAGGTGCCCAGAAAACCAAGGTAGGGACCTGATGGCCCTTCCAGGTTGCCTTCTAGGATTTGGGACTAGGACTTAGGGGGCTGGGCCTGTCTCCTAGCCCTGACAAGGGCGGTATTGCTCCAGCTCTCGGCACCAGGGGGCATTGATGCACTTCAGGGGTGCAAGGGCACGTAGTGACCCTGTCAGCACCCTATCTTCAGCTGGAGAGAGTCTGAGCAGGCCTGAGCTTTCACTCCCTCCTGCCCTCCATGAGCTTATCTTCCCCAGTAAGGTGGGCTCTTGCCTGAGACAAAAGCCCCAGGGAAGATGAGAGACGAGATTGGGAGGAGGAAAGCGAGTAGCAGAGATCTCGGTCTGTCTGCCTCGCTACCTCTGGCCTTACTGATGCCCCTTCCTACCGGGTGTGCCCCTTCTCCTCCACACACAAGCACACTGGGGCACCTGGTTCCTGTTCTCTGGACCTCAGGTCCCAGGGGATCCCCTCTCCTCTGAATCCCTGACTTAGCTACCTTTCATCCTGTGCTCCTAGATACCTAGGATGAGAAGTGGGAAAGGATCTTTCTTCTAGTCCAGTCCTTTGGCAGGTGCGCAGCCACACAGGCAACTTCTTCAAGCAGCTGTAGTGCTTATCTCTCCTGGGTTAAGAGCCAGATGAAGAGACACCCCTGGCTCCTGGAGCAGGTGGGAGGCAGAACTGAGCAAGCCTCACCCCACATGTATCCCCTTAAACTCAAGCTCCGCCTCCTCCCTGACCACCCATGCCCCTTAACTTCTCAGACAGACACCAGGGCCAAAACTGCTTTATTTCCCTTCCTACTGGGTCAGGTTAGGGGCTGGGAGGCCATCCATTTCTGCATTCACCAATGCAATGTGGGTAATTCTGGGGTGGGGAGAGGGGTAGCATGGAGTTCATTTGAACTCCTTGGTCACATGTCCCCCAGAGCCCTGACTCTAGCCATTGGAATTGGAGAGGAGACATGCAGGTCATGACCTCCATGCACCTTTACTCCAGCTCTGCACGTCAGAGGTGGGGGAGAGGGGTGAGAAAGAAGTATGCACTGCATATTTTTGAGGCTACTGCATTTTTGCTCCTAAGGCAGAAATCTTGCTCTCTGAGCAGAGTCAGCAGCTCCAACTTGGGCCCGATAAGAAAGCTCTCCATGGCCTCTCCCATGCGGAGCAGGGAGGAGCCTGACCTTGCCAAGTCTCTTCTGGGGCCCAAGGCAGGTTGCAGGAGATCCAATCGCGTAGACAGCTATGGGCCTCTACCATTTGTGTTTTTCAGAATTAAATTGCAGTATTTTGGAAAGTACACCCTGTCCGCTGTTTCTTTGAGGTGACTGGTATTGCATGTCAAGGGACTGTCACTGACTGCCAAAATCATCTGATCCATCCTTCAAAGTCCTCAAATCATCACCTCACCCTTAACCAACAGCCTCCCAGCCTCTGTGACCACCCTCATCTGGCAAGAGTGAACTAGAAGGCTTATCTTACAGCCCTAATCATTTTTCTTTCTCTGTTGAGAAAAGCCAGGCTCCTTTCCCTGTGGACTGTCCCCAGAGGCTGATTACCTGCCTCTCCCGCCCCACCTGTCTAGCTGAGGCTGCCCAGGCATTGCCCTGGGTGGTCCGCCTTCAGTGGGCGGCGAAATCTCAGGCTCTCTGCTGAGTCCTCCTATAAGCGAGTGCTGGCACAGCGCAAAGTGATTCCACGAACAGGAAAACACACTTATTCAAACAACTGTTCCGCTGGAGGGGGACGACCTCTGCCTTACTCTCAAGACTGCTGGGCCTTTGCTGCCCGGCAGTGGGAGCGGTTGCCCCGGCAACAGTCGCTCTCCCTCCGTCGGAGCTGGAGACCCGGCTTTGGCTAAAGGCCGTTAAAACCTTAGGGTCCTTTACACGACTGGCACGCCCCAGTCCCCGCCACAGGTGGGCGAAACTGGGACGCAGCCAGCGCGCCCGCCCCTCCGCCCAGCGCTGGGAACTCGCCCGGCCCCGCCCCGAACCCCGCACTTGGTAACAAACACTTCCACTTCCTGAGCGCTCCTTCCAGGCCCGCCGCGGGGCGCCGCTCCGCGCTCAGGCCCCGCCCCGCGCGCTCCCATTGGCCGGCGACGTTCACCCGGCCCGAGCGCGCCGGCCCGTGGTCTCTGATTGGCCTGCGGTGGTCCACACCCTCGGAGAGGCCCCGCCCCGGGGGTAAGGCGCCGGGGAGGGATCTGGGGCACTCAGACGCCGCGCGGGGCGGGGATTGGTTCGCGCTACTTTTTCGGCTCCTGGCAGTTCGCGGCAGCCGGCGGTTCCCGGGACACCTGCTAGCTCCGCCCGCCCGGCGGCGCGGGGGTTCCTTGCCGCGCTCCCTCCCGCCACCCGGTTCGCTGGACCGGGAGGAAGGCTGCCCGTCCAGTCCCCGGCCCCCGAAGCGACCCCCAGCGCCGCGCCGCTGAGCCGTAGCAGGGCGAGATGAGCGAGGACGCGGCGGCCGGGGCGCCCCTGCCCCGGCTGTGCTGCCTGGAGAAGGGTCCGAACGGCTACGGCTTCCACCTGCACGGGGAGAAGGGCAAGGTGGGCCAGTTCATCCGGCTGGTGGAGCCCAACTCGCCGGCCGAGAAGGCAGGGCTGCTGGCCGGGGACCGGCTGGTGGAGGTGAATGGCGAGAACGTGGAGAAGGAGACGCACCAGCAGGTGGTGAGCCGCATCCGCGCCGCGCTCAACGCCGTGCGCCTGCTGGTGGTCGACCCCGAGTCCGACCAGCAGCTGCAAAAGCTCGGCATCCAGGTCCGGGAGGAGCTGCTCCGCGCCCGGGAGGGGTCGGGGCAGGCCGAGCCGCCGGCCGCCGAAAATGAGCAGCAAGCCGCCTCGCGGGAGCTGGAGAAGAGCCACTCGGAGCGGGTAAGTCGGGCACGGGCTGGAGCGGGGTGGGAGGAGGACCCGGGAGAGACCCCCCGGCGCCCAGGCCATCCAGCCCCAAGCCCGCCGTCTTTCTGAAACTCGAGCCGCGAGAGGGAGACCGCTTCCGCCCGCCGACCGGGCGCCCAGGCTGTAGGAACACAGGCTTGGGACTGCGTCCTGCCACCCCATCCCCCTCCCCAGGCTAGGCTGGGAGAGGCTGAGCGTCTTTGCTGCATGCACCTCTTGTCCCCTGGCCTCTGGGAAGGCAGCGCAGCGGGGCTAAGCCCCTTTTTCCTCCGGTCTGTTGGGGTCTGCTCCCGTTCCTCGGAACCCCCCAATCCCGCCCTTTCCCGGGGCCCTTTTGGCCACCCCACCTTGCAGCGGGGCCAGAAAGAGGGCTTCTCCGCCCCAGAGGCGCCAGCTTCCTCCCCGACCCCGACTTCAAAAAGTTAGAGGAATAGCAAACTCTGGTGTGGGAGGCTTGCTCGGCACCTACCCACTCCCCCGCAGCCCGCTGGCGTGTGTCATTAACTTCAGCCTGGCTGGACTTCATCCTCCTGAACTCCAGTGTGACTTCTACAAGAGAGGAAGCCCCACCATCTCTGGGCGATGTGTGGGGGTGGCGTGCGGGAGGAGGGGCAGAGGCATCTCGGGAGTGATGGCTGTGCCACCCAGGAGGATTTACGGTTCTCAGGAATGTGAGGAGTAAGCGCTAGCTCGTATCAGGGAGGGGGAGGGAGGACCTTGGAGAAGGGGGAGGAGAGAGATGGCTGGAGGTAGGGAAAGGAGGGAGTGTAGGGAAGCACGTGGCCATGCAGCCCCAGCAGAGCTCAGTGAGCCGGTGGTCTTGCCCTGGCATTGTCACACTCACTCAGTGCCTGGACAGCAAGCAGGCTGGTTGCTTTTTGCCTATGTTTGGTGTTTCCCCAGACGATCCCAGTTTGGATCGGCTGCAGGAGGGGCAGCTGGCATAACAGGAGTTGTTGTGCTGAGCCTCCTGTCCCCAGAGACTGAAGTGAGGAAGCCTCAGGGTGCAGACTGTGGGGAGCAGGGCCTGGGCACACCAGGGCACCTTCTGCTTGCACCTAGTGGTAGCGTGTGTCAGGGCTGTCTATGGGGCCAGAGAATCCTCTCTGGACAGAGAAAGGGCACCGTTCAGCATTAAGGTAGAAGGTGGAGCCCGAGAGGATCAACTGGTTTGGTGGAAGTGAAGGAAGTGATGTCACCAAGAGCCCTGTCCAGCCAGAGTTGGGTGCCGGGAATGCCAGAGCCGCCAGGCTCCCACTTCCTGCCCCTGCCTAGCTGGCACTGACAAGGGGAGGGACTGGGCCGGAGCACCCCTGGCAGGGGGTTGACACCAGGGAATTGGAACCGAAGACCTCTGGTCCCAGGCAGAAATGCAGTTTGAACTTTGTGCTGAGTCCATCGATTTGCCATTCCTTTTTTTTTTTTTTTGGACTTTGGCACCCACACAAGTAACCCGCCCCCCAAGTTACAGTCATATTCAGCTCCTCCCTTTGTCCTTTTGGTTGTGCTGCTAGTTGCCAGAGGTCCTAGGAGGAGGCTAACTTGGAGACCTGACATGGCTCATGCGCTCAAAGGCAGCAGGCTTGGTCTTCCTGGGTGAGCACAGAATGCCATCCCCCCAGGTGGTTCTGTGACATCTACGTGTGTGTGTGTGTGTGTGTGTGTGTGTGTGTGTGTGTGTGTACACTTCATTAGGAACCACCTCCAGTGAATCCTGGGAACACCATCACCAGGCAAGTCACGGTCCTTCTCTGAGCTTTAGTTTTCCCATCTGTAAATTGGCATTGGTGACACGGTTCCTGCCTTCTCTAGAATCACAGCAATAATAGGAAGCACTCAAGCCCCTGCTACGTGCTAGATTGCACCCCTTTATGTCCAGGCATTTGAATCTCAGCTCTGTGCGACCAACTCCGGCCACCTTATTCATAGCCTGTCAGGACAGTGAAGTCCCTCTGATAGAGAATTGCCATAATCTGATTGGGTGAGCTCATGGTTGACCACCTATTGTTGCAAAAAAGTGTTAATGAACATTGTAAGGGTTGGGTTTTTTTCCTAAAACACATCTCTTTCCTATTCAAAACATCTAATTGAGATTTGCTAATTAGCGTTAGCCTGAATTTGTGTGCAAGTGGGTCTGTTCCCTTAGCTTCATTAGTTCCAAGTGGAAAAGAACCGTGCAGAAGGGTGGGCCACCTCTCTGGGAAGCAGCGGAGGGCAGAATGGTACCGGGCGGAGGCTGAGAGTGCCAGTCAGCCTAGGCCTGAGGAGGCAGACTGTCATACTGCCCGCTCTGCCCACCCGCTTTGTTGGGAGTTTTCCCCACATCCACCCATGGGGACACAGGAGCGGCACACCTGCCCTGGTGCTCCGCTGCTTAAAGCCCCCTTCCCCCAAGACCCAAACCCTTGAGCTTGGGCCCTCAGGGCAGGCCTGAGCCAGCTCAGCTGAACTAGCGGCTGCCTTCAGCCAAGTTGCTTCACTTCTGTAAGCCTCCACTTCCTGTTGTGTAAGTTGCGGGTGATAGCTACCCCGGGATTACATGAAGACGCATGTAAAGCAGTAGCTCCGTGCCTGGCACTGACCAGGTGCTCAGTAAACGTTGGTTGTGGTGTTAGCAATTAATAAATATTTCACAGTCATTGTCACACACCCACCCATGGGCAGCTAGCACTCAGTCTGCCTCCCTAGTTGGGCAAGTGCAGCTGTGGCCAAGCCTGACACTCAGTATGTGCCCGATCGATGGTCACTGCCCATCAGGAATTGTATGTTGTTCCATGGCCCTTCCCAATCTGGCCATCCAATCCCGCCACTGGCCCCTAACTCTCCAAATCATACCGAGTGTCCGAATTCCCCTGTAGCAGGCCACAGCCTCTAAGCCGTCACACCCTAACATTCTCTAGTCTGGAAACCCTCTGTCCCCTTCTTCACACTCTGCAAGACCACTGACCTCCCAGAGCCATTCCCATGGGGCAGAGCTGGCTCTTCCTTGCCTCCTTCTCTTTGTCCTTACGTCTTTTATCTCTCTGAACACACAATATTTTAATCATCTGTTCATGACCTCCTATTCCACTACATGGTAAGCCCCGAGGGCAACAACCGTGGCTTATTTGTGTTTATACTCTCAGTGCTGTGCCCAGCACATGGGAGGGAGCACTCCATAAATACTTTTTGAATTAATGAATGAATATATAACAGCTGTCAGGAACCTTTGTCCTCATTCACCGCAGCCCAGCACACCTTGGCCTATGTGTGTGCCTCCTACACGCCCAGAGTTGGAATTCCAGATAGAACCTACCCACTCTTCTGTTCTGCCTGCTAGCAGCTTCCATTTTAAGATTAGACACGCCTGTAATCTTAGCACTCTGGGAGGCCAAGGCGGGTGGATCGCTCA